TCCACTCCTGCTTTTAATCTTTGCTCAAACATGGTAGCCTCTTCTGATCACTTAGAAATTACAGAAGTATTACACCCATTTTTTGTCATTCTCTCCCTTTTGGGAAAGAGGGAAGTAGTTGGACTCTGCCCTTGAAGATAAAGATGAGCTTGTAAGTTGGAGCCTTAAAGGCACTTCTTGAAAGGCAGTCATCTCCTGAGCCTTCTGGGGTTGCTGAACAGTGAAGCAGGAGGAGGAAGATAAGAGGTTGATTGTAGTGGGTTGTTTGGAGTATACAGAGGCCATGCAGTTGTACAGCTGCACATTTCATCAAATAATCATTTTCCTTGATATATGATCATTATTAAATACGAACATAATGACTCCAATAAAACAATTGAGTCTCTTTCCTACAGTCTCTCCCTGTTGTCTCTCTGCAATGTTGAATGACAAGCAAGCATCGAAAGAAAATCATTTATGCCTTTATAGTGGACTCATTGTAGTGTCATGGACCACAGACTTTCATTTAATTATCTTACATGAGAAAGGCTTTTGGTCTTTTACAGGCTTAGGCAGGAATAGGGAGAACAAGGAAGGTGAGAGCGAAAGCACGTTTTGCCTGGCAGAGTTGCCTTTTACTTATGAGAAATAAGGCTGATGTTATCACCCACTTTCTAGTCAAATTTGACAGGAGCATTTTGTTAAGCCACTTTCTCTGAGTGGGAATTCTGATGAATATTGCTCTCGTCTCCGGTTTCCAAGTATTACTTTACACCGTTCCCAAGCATTGTTTGCCTTAATGGATGAATTACTGTAGCATGTCAGAGAAGCTGATAATTCACGGCCTCATTTTATAACCTGAGAGCCCAAGGCACAGCAGTTTAACTTGCATGGCTGGAGAGCAGTGAATGGAGCCCAGGTCACCCACCCAATGTACTCAGTCTGATGACAAGTTTGCTGCTGTGGCCTCAGTATTTCTCTTCAGGAAGTTGCAGCTCCTGGAGAATGCCATGACTTTTTGCCAGGCACCTGCTTGTAAGTGAAGTGGAGCTGGGCAGTGCTTTTGGCATACTCGTGACACGCTTCTGTTTCAGATGCTCTTTTTGCCACCACATCTGTGTGTTGATAGCACTGAAAAAGGAGTTACCTCCACTTGGTCTTCTGCCTGCCTGGCTCATGGCTCTGTCCTTGAGTAAGTAGGCAGTTGATCACTTACGGAGCAGCTCTTCTTTAAGAAGTAAACAATAATTAATTTGAAGGCTGAAGCAGGTTTTGTATGACTATGGCCTAGGCCAGTGCACTAAACTTCTTATTTTGAACACTCAGCTGCATAGCCAACAGCCAGACTTGTGCACATGTTAATGTTGCTTGTGAGGTCCAAGCAGTGAGTAAGCTACTACTGTAACACTGAGTGATAATTTATGTAAAGCATATGTTACTCATGTTGACTAAGGCTGTCTGGCTGAGATTGGGTAAATGAAGAAAATCCAAACTACCATCCCTTGTTATGTTTGGATGTTTTCAAACCACTGCAGTGGTATAAAATGATTCCCTTCTGCCGGTTTGTGTAGCCAGCTGGTGCCAGCCCTTTGGAAACAGGAGCATCAGTGCAGAGCTGCTGGTGGGAATCAGCCTTCAGAGAAACCTGCAGGCAGTTGAGATAAACCCTTTGCACCACACGTGTTCCTGGAAGGACTGCTGAATGCATCAGAAATGGCCATGGTGCTCCAGCTCAGTACATCGGGGGGGGGTGAGAGACCTGTTTTGGGGTGCCTTCCCAGGAGGCATTTTGATTCTTCAAGATAATGTAGCTGGGAACAGGGAGGTGAAGCTCTGCTTAACTCCAGTGCTGTTGGAGCACTTAATAAATTGAGGAGGACTGGTGGGATTCAGATGTGGGAGGAGATAGGCAGGTACTGTCCTACCTTCAGTCTCATGGCTGTTTTAACAAGGGATTGCTGAAGCACCCGCAAAATACAAATTGTTTAGGCACATCTGAGGAGGTGACCCTTTCTGAAATGCTTCTGTTTCAGCATCCAGAAACTCTGCAGAGGTGTATCCACACCTCCATGGTCTGTTTGACCTGGGTAGATATGTAGGGATACTTGGACATGGTTCCTGCCTCTGCTAATGGAGTGAGTGCCAAAATGCAAAAGCCCCTTGTCTCTTGCGGAGGTTCTCTCTCCCCCATTTAATTAGACACCAGTAACATTAGCTTTTAAACAGGAATTGGAAATGCATAGTGACTTTATTGTAGCAGCATGTGTTGAATGGAGAGCAGTTCCCTTTGGGGCAGAAGCTGCTGGCACACAACAGCTTCTCAGCGGGTGCCTGCTGCCTGCCCCGCTCTGCTTGATGCACCGAGTGTCCATTAGCTGCCAGGCTGGAAAGGAGAAGGCTTTGAGGAATAGAACTCACTCCTGTGCCTTGCAGGAAGAGGCTGTAGGGAACTCTTTAAATGATCCTATAGCAAGAAAAACAGAGAGGACGCTGAGAAGACTCTGTAAGGCACATGCGTTCACTGCAAGCGTTACGTTGAGATTTTGTAGTACTGCAGAAATCTCATTGCCAAGGTGATTAAGCTTGGTTTATTCTGAAGTCAGCTTATTGTAAACTCAGTTTATTTATCAATCAACTCAGTTTATTGATTGTAGAGAGGTACGGGTTTTGCAGAGGAACAGGAATCCTTTCTTGTCTTAGCCATTTGGAGTGATTGTGTTCCCCGTTACTTCGTTTTTAGGCAGGTTGAGGTTATAATTTAAGTGCTGTTTGGGAGGCATTCACGCTTTTTAACAGCTTGTTAGAGTAGTCTTCATTTACAGAATGAAATTAACACCTCATACTTCCATGGTCTTCTAAACACTTCCAGCCAACATGGAGTTTCAAAAGGTGGGAAGAACCATAAACTGCCTCATCCCCAACCAGCTGGGTTTGTTCTTTTTCCATGGAATAACCTTTTTATTCCTTTATTATATTATTCTTTATTTATTTTGTTACATTTTGTTGTTTGGGATTTTTAAACAAGCACAACTACCAATATATGGACCTACCTTAGTACAGCTGTTTTGCTGACCTGGCCCATCCGGCTGTGTTATTTGTTCAAGAGTTGTATTAATACTTTGGTTATTGGGCTTTCAGTTAAAACCTTGTTACCTTGCAATTTAATATTAATAGTAACTGACCCTTGTTTCCTAGTCTCCAAAACACACGGTGCCTTATTTCCTATGTATTGTTCTGAAACGACTCTTCATTTCTTCATGTAAGGGGCTTAGGAAAGCAGTGTCACTTAACCGTTGACAGTCCTTAATATTCCAGTGTTTCAGTGAGTTTTCAACCTGAAAAACCTGCCTTTTACTTAAACTCCATTGGGAATTGCTCTGCCAATGGCCCTGGAAGTTTTCAGTTCATTTCTCCATCTCTGCCATCGGAGTTGTGCCTTATTGGGCTCAGAGTTACTTTTAATTGGCAGTGCCTGTAGAGAAAAATGCTGATGTTTTGGGGCAGAGATCTGCTTTTTGCTGTGGACATTGTCCTCCTCCTCCAGTTGCTCTCTCTCTCCATTATGCTATTTGCCATGTTCTGGACTGCTTTTCAACTTCCCAGAGTCTGTGGCAGCTTGTGCAAGTGCAGCAGTGCTGGAAGAGATAGGTCTGGACCCAGGCTGAAATCCATATGCTTTTCCCAGCTACCCGTATGCAGTGAGGCCACAGCTCTTCAGTGTTACCAAGTGATATTATTTCAAAAGCTCCTTATAAAAACATGAGTAATTGGGCAAGTGACAAAGGACTTTCTGTTTATCTTTCTGGACAATGGAAAATACCAAATAGCCACAATTTGTCCCAGTTATTTAGTGTCTTTGTTCCAGAGCCATTTCGTGGGCACAGGATTTAATTCTGCAAGAATGCAGGAAGATGGTGACTTGTTTTCATGCTTAAAAACTAAATAAAGCTATTAAAATCTTCAAGTTTTTTTACTAGGAAAATAGTTTTTTACTTGTGCAATACCATTTTTAAAGTGTAGGG